CCACGCACATGCCCTTTTAAGGGCCCTCCCAATTTTATTTCCATGGGTTTTTTCAATATTGATTTGGGTTCCTCTGCTTTTCCCACGAAAAATGACCTTTAAGGGCCCCCCAGCCCTTAGTCCGTAGGGTTAAATATTGAGTTTGGCCCCCCCCTTTTTCAGCTATAAAAACTTAAAATTCTTCGGGGAAAAGGGGGCCCATCCAAAAGGGTTTTAGGAGGGTGTCTATGGAAGGGTTTTGGACCAATCCTTCCCAAGAAGCACTTTTTGTCAGGTCTGGAACGATGGGGGGGAAGAGGCCTGGCTCGCAGCCCGGGCCCCTAATTCTTTCCAAAAAGGGGGTTTTTTCTAGGGGTTTAAAGGTCGGGAATTTGTGCGGGCCAGTAAAAAGTTCCTCCACCCCAAACTGGCTCCTTAAAGCCCTTTAGGCCCTTTTGATTTGTGCACGGGTGGGCAGTCATGTTGGAACGGGAAAGGGGGGCCATCCCCCAAACCCTTTTTCCCACAAATTGGGAGCATGAAATTTTTCCAAAATGTCGCCTTAATTTTTTCCCTTCACTGGAACTGGGGGGGCCAACCCAACTCCTAAAAAAACACCCCCCACACCAAAATTCCCCCCCCTCCCCCAAAATTTTAAACACTTGGCCAATGCAGTCAGGCAAAGTACCGTTCTCCTGTCAAACCGCCAAAACCAGGGACGTCCATCGGATTGTCAGGAGATAGCGTGATTGGTCACTCCAGAAGAACAACGCCATCCACTTGCTCCTAGAGTCCCATTGGCGGTGTGCTTCTACTCCACGGCATCTGAACGCTTTGCATTGCATTTGGTTTGATGGGGAAATCATGGGAAGGCTTGGATGCATGCCTGCTCGGCCATGGAAACCCATTCCATTGAGCTCTTCTACACACTGTTTTTTTTGGGCTTCATATGAAAGGCCTACACCAAGTCTGGTAGGTCTTTTAGCTATTGACTCTGCAGTTGGAGCGACTTCTGGGCACTGAGTGCCTTCAGCATGCGGCTGACCCCACCATGTCATGTGACAGGGCCTAACCACTTGGTGGCTGAGTTGCTGTGTTCCCAGTTGCCCTTCCACTTTGTTCTAACTATCCCACTAACAGTTGAGCGTGGAAATATTTAGTAGCCAGGAAATGTCACGGATGGACACATCATATGGAGGGGATTGGAACACCTTCACATGATATGGAGGGGATTGGAACACCTGAATCACATTGGGAGGGGATTGGAACACCTGAAATCACATTATTGATGGGGATTGGAACAACTGAATCATATGATTGGCAGGGGATTTGAGCACCTGAATCATATGATTTGGAAGGGATTGGAACACCTGAATCACATGACATGGAGGGGATTGGAACACCTGACTCACAATATGGAGGGGATTGGAACACCTGAATCACATGATATGGAGGGGTTTGGAACACCTGAATCACATGATTTGGAGGGCGGGGGACAATACTTTGGGCAATATCGTGTAGGATGCAGTTCTGGAATATGGCGGCACTGGAGGATGATGGGTTCCTGGTGGCTTCACATTTCGATTCTTCTCTTTGACACCCGTGATTTTAGTAATTTACATCTATTTTTGACCGATTTTCTCTAAGGAAAAGAAGCTGCCTAATAATTATGCACGCCTTAATATAGGGTGCTGACCTCCTTAGGCCACGTCCTCCCTCATTACACATCACCTGATAGGCTTATGTCTAATAAGCATTCACGTTTCTACGGCTCGGAGTTGGACAATATGCAGAGAAATGACAATTTTGTCAAAATACTCCCCTGCCTAATTGTGTCCTATGGTAACCTGTAATATGTAGAATGTAATGCCCAGCCCTCCACACGTGCTCGATTGTAAAGCATGTCATGTTTGGTATCTATGTACTCGGTGTAAACTCGTCTTTTATATTTCACCAAAAAAATTGGGTATTACGTTGTGTTTGTGTGCACTAACATTTATTAACCACTTCCTGTCTGGCCCATGTACAGAAACAGCCGGACAGGAGCAGTGCCGGAGCGGGTGGCCGTTTATAAACAGCCACTGCATTCATAGACTGTTCGCGCTCTCTGGGAAAAATGGCCTGGACTGGAAGGAGGTGAAAGTGTCCGGACTGGAAGGGGGTGAAAGTGTCCGGACTGGAAGGGGGTGAAAGCGTCCGGACTGGAAGGGGGGGAAAGCGTCCGGACTGGAAGGGGGTGAAAGCGTCCGGACTGGAAGGGGGGAAAGCGTCCGGACTGGAAGGGGGTGAAAGCGTCCGGACTGGAAGGGGGGGAAAGCGTCCGGACTGGAAGGGGGGGGAAAGCGTCCGGACTGGAAGGGGGGGAAAGCGTCCGGACTGGAAGGGGGGGAAAGCATTGTACAGGAAAGCGTCCGGACTGGAAGGGGGGGAAAGCGTCCGGACTGGAAGGGGGGGAAAGCGTCCGGACTGGAAGGGGGGGAAAGGGGGAAGGGAGGGGAAAGCGTCCGGACTGGAAGGGGGTGAAAATGTCCAGACTGGGAGAGGTTAAAGTGTTTTTTTTCCCAAAAAAAATTGGCGTTTAAAAAACCTCTTGCCAAATACCACGTCATCAAAACAATTGCAACACCCACCATTTTATTCACTAGGGCCTGTGCTTCAAAATTTAAAAAAAAAAATAGATGTTTGGGGGGTTTAAAGTAATTTTCTAGCAATAAAATTTTTTTTTTTTTTTCCAGGGGGGGGGTCAGAATCAGTCGGGACTTAAAGTAATTAAAGCCCCACCTAGGAGCAATGTTGGAATACTGAAGTTCGTCCTCATGACACCGACACCCACCATTGTTATTTTTTTTTTTCAATGTTTTATTCCCATTTTCCTTTTAACAAGTTTGCAGTCGAAAAAAAATGAAACTGTAAAAAAGGTAGAAACCCAACTGGTTAGGAAAATCGCTTGTCTGGAATGTGGAGGCGGAGTCTTGGACCCAAACCCATCCTCTATGGCAGCTTACCGATTGTTAGATGCAGCGGCTGCATTCGTTTTAGGCTTTTTCCCCCTGGTGATCTGGCAGGAGGAAGGAGCACAGGAGGGCATCTTTGTACAGCAGCATTGCAAGTCTAGGGGGGAGGGGAGGGGAGTGTTAGGTGGACTAGCAGATTTAGCCACACTAACAAACTGAAGCCAAGCTCATGATTTGTAATCAGTTACAGCCCATGGTTTGGTTTCTTTTTGGGGATAAAGGTTGTTCTGTCCTCACCACGCCTTTCTCTGGGTGCAACTCGGCATGCGGCTAAACCCTCCTATTCTGCAACAAGCCAGACTGGACGGAAACTTGAAGCTTTATTAACAAAAACAGGGCGGGGTGAAACGATCAGGAAAACACAGATGAGAAATCCATACAATTGGTGTGAGAACATACACAAATCACAACGAATAGTTAGGCTATAGATGGCGATACGCAATGCTTCCTTTCGGTGATGCTAAAAGATGCACGTTTTCATCCAACGCAGGCTCTGATAGCCGGTTCCTTCTCTCCCAGTTCCTGAGATGGAGTCTGAGCTCCCAGGATGCATCTCTTTCTTTTCTCTCAGAATGATGGGAACTGGTTGAAAACCGCTGTAAGATCTCCCGGACTCATAAATGCACAATTATAATATCTCACTCGGGGGTCTGCTCATAAAACATTTGTTGGATAAATGTGATGAGTATTCGTCCAGCCGTGATAAATCGTGGCCACAATTTAACACACAGATTTTCTATGATCATCAGCGCCATCTAGTGGCTATGTTGTGGTATTTTATTGAAATACTGAAAAAGCGGAGCAAAAATCGCATCATGGTCACTAGATGTAGCGGATGATTTCAAGAATTCACTGTGAAAATTAAAACATGAATGTTTGCACCACAAAATGCACTCAGCCAATGACAGGTGAGGACGCCATCTTTATTCTTTTCCTGCCATCAATGGCCAACCCGGTCCCACACTTCATCCACGTTTTTGGGGACCTCTAACCTCCTTATGAACGGTTCCTTCCATTATGAAGATCAGCCATGGAGTATATCTGAGGTGCATATCAGGGTGTGCTTCTTCCCCACATGAGAGCTGGGATGTCCAGCAACATTCATCTAGAAGACATTTCCCGCACTCAAGGCACTAATACACCTCCAGGATTGTGTGGGACCCCTGATGTACAGGAAGACAGGACTTCAGTGAGGAGCAATTCCCACATGGAGGACAGAGGGAGGAACATTTCCCTCACTCAGGACAGGAACGTGATTTCTCCACCATGTGAGACCTCTGATGACTGAAAAGAAGAGACTTCCGTGAAAAACATTTCCCGCACTCAGGACAAGCATACGGCTGCTCCCCCGTGTGAGATCTCTGATGTGTGTAAAGATTAGACTTCTGTGAAAAACATTTTCCGCACTCTGGACAGGAATACGGTTTCTCCCCCGTGTGCAATCTCTGATGTTGGGAAAGACGGGACTTTACTGAAAAACATTTCTCGCACTCAGTACAGGAATACGGCTTTTCTCCTGTGTGAGATCTCTGATGTGCGATAAGATTGTACTTCAATGAAAAGCATTTCCCGCACTCAGAGCAGAAATACGGCTTCTCCCCTGTGTGCAATCTTCGATGCTTGTAAAGATCGGACTTCTGTGTAAAACATTTCCCGCACTCAGGACATAAATATGGTTTTTCCCCCGTGATGTCCGTGTGAGTCCTCTGATGTGTGACCAGATCTGATTTTTGTACAAACCATTTCCCGCACTCAAAACAGGAATGCAGATTTTCACCCGTGTGCAATCTCTGATGTCTGTAAATATGTGACTTAGCTGAAAAACATTTCCCGCACTCAGGACAGGAATACGGCTTCTCACCTGTGTGAGATCTCTGATGTGCGTGAAGTTTGGACATCTGTGAAAAACATTTCCCGCAATCAGAACAGGAGTACGGCTTCTCCCCCGTGTGCAATCTCTGATGTGTGCAAAGACTGGATTTCTGTGCAAAACATTTCCCACACTCAGGACAGGAATATTGTTTCTCCCCTGTGTGCAATCTCTGATGTATAGAAAGATTGGCCTTCTGTGAAAAACATTTCCCACACTCAGGACAGGCATACGGCTTCTCTCCTGTGTGAGATCTCTTATGCTCATCAAGTTTGGATTTAAAACGGAAACATTTCCCGCACTCAGTACAGGGAAACCTCCTATCTTTTGGAAGGCCGGCCCGGTCCCGCACAGTCTGAGGTTCCTCAGGATACGAGGAATCCGATGGTCCATCTACACTGGGTAGTGCCGGATGGACATTGGAGGGAGCCGGGTTTTCTCCTGGACTATACTGTGTGATGTCCTCATCTTCTACTTTCCAGTCTGGAGACAAAGTGAGACAATCCTCGGAGGTTTTCCTCATCTCCCGGCCATGGACTAAAATACAAAGACAAAGAGGATTACTAGACAGGAGCTGATTGGTTCCCCCAAACCAGGACTCTGCCCACATCTGGCAGCTTGGTCTCTGAGGAGCTTACAATTCCACCCTCAAGGGAACTAGGAAATGGGTCAGTGACCAATCAGTGAGCAGTATGGGTGGAGGAATGGATTTAGTATTTAGTATTCATGACCCACCTGTGCTGATCGCTGTAGGAGTGTCCTCCTCTATAAATGTCCCCGTTATTCCATCCTCCTCCATAGACTGCTGATCATCCCTCACATACGCCTCTTCTTCTTCTGATTTCACCTCAAATTCTATATCGATTGGATCTCCACTCTACATCAAGAGAAGGAGAGAAAATATCATCTGTAAGATAGAAGATTTATTATTGTGACATCACATAGAAAATCCGCACATCGTCTCCATGAGTCCATGTTCTAGATTCTCCGTCCCACCAACCTTGTAATAGTGAGGGATGGTGAGATCCCCCTGTGTGGAATCCCGGGAATACAGAGGACGGGGACATCTCTCTAGTGGGTTCCTGGTATTAGGTGGCTCCATAATATCCTTGTGTCCTTCTGAAAGTTCCTCCATCACTCTATACTCCTCATCCTCCTCTTTATACTCTTCTTTGACATCAATATTATCATCCCGGAGGATTCCACTCTGAATATATAATAAAACATTCATTGTAACAAACATGCTGTGTATAAATCATAACTATCAGTGATTGTTCCTCATCTACCTGATGATGGTGAGGGATGGTGTGACCTTCCTGTGTGGAATCCCGGGAATACAGAGGATGCGGACATCTCTCTGGTAGGTTCCCATGACTGGATCCATCTACCTGATGATGGTGAGGGATGGTGTGACCTTCCTGTGTGGAATCCCGGAAATACAGAGGACGGGGACATCTCTCTGGTGGGTTCCCATGACTGGATCCATCTGTAGGAAACACACACACTGACTGAATCCATTGTTTCTATGTGTTTATCAGATGATGGGGGATCTAGGTGGAGCCTCCGTACTGCTCTCTCCTTTCCAATAAAGTGTCCTCTTACCCGGTGATGTGAGGGGCGGCTGATTGTCCATCATGACGTCCTTGTAGAGGTCCTTGTGTCCTTCTAAATACTCCCACTCCTCCATGGAGAAATAGACAGTGACACCCTGACACCTTATAGGAACCTGACACACACAATGATACAGTCACCATCCAGACACATCCCTTGTCTGTTACTGGAGAATGTCCCAGAATTCCTGGCACCGCTCACCTCTCCTGTCAGCAGATGGACCATCATGGTGGTCAGTTCCAGGATCTTCTGCTCTTTGTTCCTCTCAGGTATCGGAGAATGAGGGGGAGGCACCATGGTAGGGCTCTGGGTCCTGCTCCATCCTCCTGAGATTGGCTCCCCACTAGACTTCTTCACTACAACATAATCCTACAGATCAGGAGAAAGAGAAACCGATATCAATCATCTGACATCATCTACATGTCTACAAGAAGAACATGGTCTATTGGCCAGACTAGACCAGAGTGATGTCATGTGACCTCCCAGAATCCTCCTCACCTCTCCAGTCAGATCAGAGTGATGTCATTTGACCTCTCAGAATCCCCCTCACCTCTCCGGTCAGGTCTGTGTGATGTCATGTGACCTCCCAGAATCCTCCTCACCTCTCCAGTAAGGTCTGTGTTTTATTAATAGAGATAAGAGTGATGTCATGTGACCTCCCAGAATCCTCCTCACCTCTCCGGTCAGGTCTGTGTTTTATTAATAGATAAGAGTGATGTCATGTGACCTCCCAGAATCCCTCTCACCTCTCCGGTCAGGTCTGTGTGATGTCATGTGACCTCCCAGAATCCCCCTCACCCCTCCGGTCAGGTCTGTGTTTTATTAATAGAGATGAGAGTGATGTCATGTGACCTCCCAGAATCCTCCTCACCTCTCTGGTCAGCAGGTAGATGATCTCCAGGGTGAGGTTTAGTATCCTCTCAGTCATGTGACTCCGGTCCTCTTCCATCCTCATTGGTGTGGTCATGTGATCTATTCAAAATTCTGCCAGGACAGGAAGAATAATAGCTGATAATGAGTATATGTATGTCTGTGTGGGGAAATGTTCTGCCCCTGAAGGGGTTATTCTAGGCTTCCACACTATATATGTGTGTATCATCATGGACGCAGCGATGGAGGAAGAGGACGGACGTGACGGTGGAGGAAGAGGACGGACGTGACGGTGGAGGAAGAGGACGGACGTGACGGCGGGTTACTGGGTATTAATATAAAATCAGATCTTATTACCTCCTCTGCTGCCACTTCCAGCAATGTCTCCTCTCTACTTCCTCCCAACTCACCTCTCACCCGGAACTTCCTGTCTTCCATAGAAACTTCCTGTCTGGGTAGAAGTGAGATCTCCATCTTGTGGAGCTCAGAGGAACTGCAGCCCCGAGAAGAGTCTGGTAGTGTGACCCCGGCCTTGTGCTGGGTATGTATGGACTGTATGTCCTCATAGAGGGGTCGCCTCCACTCCCACCAAGGGGGACAGAAATATATGACTGCCTAGTCCAGCCTTTCTCAGCCAGGGGTCCTCCAAAGGGTTCTAGGGGTTCCTCCAAAAGGTTCTAGGGGTTCCTCCAAAGGGTTCTAGGGGTTCCTCGAGCACTGAACAATTTCTGTATTTCCTCATAGATGGGTCACCTGTTCGCAATGAAAAGTCATTTTCTGGCAATGGTAAACCCATCTTTCTCGGCGAATGTTGGTGACGCAGCACTTTTTGGATGTCACAGAGATGCCCCTATTTAAAGGAATTGGACGTTTTTCACTGAAGCCATTCAAATATCCACTGCTCCTGGCCAAATAGAATTTTTAAAATCTTTTTTGCCTTAGTATTTGTTCTCAAGGGCAGACCCCCCCCCCCCCCTTCCACTTCCCTTCCCATCCGTGTTTTTTGACACCCCATTGCTTATTAGCTCAGAAAAATTTGACAGACTCAGATCGATAGGGTTCACGTTTGGTAACTGAGGTTCTTTGATGTTAGCCAAACCCCATTCAAACCAAACCCTGGGTGGGTCAGCTCATCCCTACTGGAGAATCAGTGGTCACAGGCATCCTGAGAACCAGTGACCCATCCTCACCCGTCCAATTCAGCCGGTCATTCAGAGCTCACACACTGAATGTAAACAAATGGATGTGAAGCCAACACTTTCAGGAGTGACCCAATCCTCACAGATGGCACAGTCTATCAGTTCATGGACAAGGAATGTTTGATAAGTCTTTGCCGGTCTCTTGGTACCCAAAAAGTGACGGTGAAATGGAGGAGAGCCAAGTGGAATAATGCCGAGGATTTTGGGGAGAAGCAATGAGCTTTTCAGTGTTAGCAAGCATGTTGTGTGAAGCTCCTTCTTCATCATAATGACAATGTGGGGGAGAGAAATCCTCCGCACCTTCCTCCAGTATGGCCTCCTATCAAAGATGGCTGTGTAATCTGTCCAATTAATGGTGACAGAAAATTCTGCTTTGGTCAGGTAGGCCATATGCTGTGTGCCCGAGATAGAGCTAGAACCGGATACGGACATTGGTGGTAAAACCAGGTCCTGCACTGGTAGAAAGGAACACATTGTCACTCTGAGGCTGAGCAGACCTTCGGGCAGAGCGAATGTTCACCTCTGTAGCATCCTCCTAGTTAGCCAGGGGGAGCTAGTTAATTATTTTTTAGCAGGAGGCGGAGAAGAAGCCGGTAAGGATAGTCAGAGGGGTCAAATTTGGGTCAGGGCTGGGAGGCTCTGCAGATCAGCTCTCTGATACCTCCCTCTGACCTAGAGGCTTGGAGAAGTCTCTAGAACTCAGTGGGTGTGGATGAGGAAGAAGACTGAGATGCAGGAGTCTGGGAGGGGGACCAGTGGGAAGGGGTGTTACTACAGGCTTGGGACCTTGACAGGAGGATCACTCAGCCTCACCAGTCCTCGGAGGGACGACTACCTGGGGAGCCAGCCCAACAGAAGTCCTGAAGGCAGCCACCTACCTACACCAGCTCACAGGAAGAAGAGTAATCCTACACCTCCTAGGCCAGTTAAGGGGAAAAGAGCACTCTGGTGGGAAACCTGATTAGCTCCTTACCCAGGACTGTTTCAAATTAAAGTGGCAGGCTCTGGATCCCCTTGCCCAGGAATTCCTTCAGACAGATGGATAGAGGAGAACTATTTGGAGTTTGGGGTGGTACACAAGGAGAGGCTGGAGAGCTCTTCAAGAAGAGAAACACTTCTATGGACTTATACATAGTTGCTAAGGAGTTTGTCCTCAGTTTACTGTTCCTTGGGCATCCCAAACACCCCTAACCCCCATCCAAGTTAAAAAAAAATAAGTTCAAGGACTGTCTCAGTAACACAAGTCTGAGAAAATGCACGATAGGGGATCACAAATCTTCTGCAACTCCTAGGGGGGTAGTTCTTCATGTGATTTAGAATTGGCTCCGTTCCACCTAGTCGCCTCCATAGCCACAAGTTAGGGTATTCTCCTGCGGGATACTCATGGAGTAGGGTGCAGGAGATAGAGTAGGTGTGTCTGGAAGGAGTACATAGTAACCCAGGTGTAGACTGTCCAAAAAATCCTTGCAGCACAAGGACAGTAGGAAGCTCCTGAGTACGTTATGAGGTCTCTAGATGGAAGTGGTGGTAAAAGGTGTGGCCAATGGTGTGATGCAACTCGTGGTCATCCGTCTGAGTGGTTGAATTTGAGTTTGAAAAAAAGGCGCTGTGGAAAATGCTCTCAGACAAGCACCTTAGTGGAGGTGCATCTTTATTGGGTGAGATAAAGTAGCAAGTATAATAAAATTAACCAGCCTGAAGTGGACAGTGTGATTCCAATGGACGGCCCGTCTGCTCTGAGGGGAGCTGAGATCAAAGAATGCTCCTGTCGGCTTCAAATCACGTGGTGTCAGCGTACCAGCGTCCTGGGTGGTGTCACCATGGCAAACGAAGGCAGTGTCCGGCGTTTGGCTTCAGCTGGGAGCATATGTGGGGTTACCAAGACGACATTAATCATCCAACAAAGGGAACGCAAACTAAAACTGGCAGAAACCAAAATTAAGGAAAAAGAAAATAAAATTCAAGAGTTCAGCTCCTCATGTCTTTACCAAAAATGGAGAAAAACATTAGATACCAATATTCTTAAAAATGAGGATGACATAGTATCCAAAAAACTAGGAAAATTAGATAGAGATATCGAAGACTACAAGCTAGGTCACATCTTTACATGGAACAGAAAACAAAGTAAGATCAATATTCCCTCTGTTACAAAGTTTCCCCCCACAGAGATTCCCAAAAAATTTAACAAACATAAACGACCTCATAATTACTTAAAACCCCTTCCCCCTTCCTCCTCCATCCAACATACACCCAGCACGACCTTTCCAACACCATCATCATCCATTGAATCTACATCTATTAATCTATTAATTCAACATTCCGATGCCATTGGTGTTTCCCTGCCTAACCCTCCCCCTCCCAACAATGTCACAACCTCCAGTAATAATCTTTCCAATCCCATCTCATCCATTAGCACAGATTTACCACTAAACAATTCTTTTTCAATTCCTACTCCAAACCGTTATGGTCCTTTATCTCAGGACCTAAATTCCTTCATCACAGGATATTCTATACCCCCTTCCCGACTACCATCAGAAAGTGATCCCAGCTCCCTTTCACAAGTTTTTTTAGAGACCCTCCCAATGGGGACAGTAAAAGAAAAAAGAAAACTAGAAGAGGCAGACGTGGTGGAAAGAGATTCCAGGCTAAAAAAGAAAGAGAAACTAGACTCACCGAGCACAATAGTACAGTAAAGATTTTTAATCTCTCCTCACACATACTATCTAATGATGAGCTATCTTTACTCCAGAAAGGACTCAGTTTCTCCCCTGCATCTGGCCCTAACAAATTTTACCTATTTCAAGACCTAAATCGTTTTGTTCGGTCTTTAACTATCAAAAGACATTTTTCTAATATCTCCCCATCTGACACTGATCCCCAAACTATTAGTATTGATTCTCATACTATCAATACAGACACTTCTCTTCAAGAAGATGATAGAATATTAGTCCAGATGCTAGAGGATCTATGGATGGAAAGCCATCCTTCTAACATGCAAACACCTAAGATTTCCTTAGACCCAGATATCATTCACACCAGTTTTAAATCCAAATCCAATTTCTTTCCAGTACAGTCCAAGGGACCATACATTGAGACCTTCTACCAGGCAGCTTATAAAGATCTTCTCAGCTTGTGCAATAAGCCACCTATCAGTTATAACATGAGCAATTCTGAAGCACAAGCCCTAAAAGACTTAGAGAACAATAAAAACATTGTCATCAAGCAAGCTGATAAAGGAGGAAGTCTTGTTGTACAACACACCAGTGATTACATCAATGAGTCCATTCGTCTCCTTTCCGATATCGATACATATCAGTTACTAAAGGCAGATCCCTTACCAGTATATCAAATAGCCCTCAAATTACTCATTGACAAAGCCTATAATGATAGCGTAATTAATAAGAGAGAGAAAAGTCTTTTCTCCTTCCCCCTATTTGTAGTACCCCATATTTTTATCATTTGCCAAAAATACACAAATCTACTACACATCCCCCTGGCCGCCCTATTATTGCAAGCACCAATAGTTTTACTAATGGCCTTTCTAAATACATCGACCATTTTCTCCAACCATTAGTTGTACAATTGCCGTCATACATCAGAGACTCCAGTCATGTGATAGAAATCCTCAGCCATTATCAGTGGAAACATGGGTATCATTGGGCATCACTTGATGTAACTTCCTTATACACATCAATCCCCCACCACATAGGCCTACAGGCTCTTCAATATTTCTTATCTTCTGAAAGTTCTATCAACTCCACCCAAGCCAAATTTATTATTGAATGTACAGAATTTTGTCTTACCCATAATTATTTTACATTCCAATTTTACTTGCAAACTAAAGGGACTGCGATGGGAGCGAATTTCGCCCCTTGTTACGCCAATCTCACAATGGGCTTTTGGGAGAAACAATATATACAAATAAACAACCCCTTTGCCAAATATATCATTTTTTTTGGGCGCTATATTGATGACATTT